ATACTTTGTGTTCGTTTTCAGTATAAAATGAGTATACAGCTTATTCACAAAATAAATTTAAAATAATAAACAACATTAATAATAATATTTGAAAACTGAAATGTGCTCTATCCATTGATCAGGCTGTTTATAGAAACTTGGAGACCGGGTTGATTAATCAGCTGATATATTGGCATTATGAGACTCAGCATATATCTTTCACATATTAGCCTATTATTTGCTCATTATCTTACTTTATCTGAGCACGTCGTTGAGCAGTTAACATTCATCACACAGCTATCTGCACAGTTTGCAGTTAGACTTACTCCAACACAAAGAAAACAAATTAACAGGATGCTGACACAAACCCAGAAATGGAGCTTGTCAAATTCAAATGTGTGCAGAGATTTCCATTTGGAATCACGGGCAGGTGAGTCGTCACGGCCCACCAGCTTTATTTGAACAAACCCTTGGTCTGTTTGAACCTGAAGCTGGCATGAGTGACTCAGAAACCACAGCCTTCCTACGGCATCAGACTATCAAATCTCACAGCGCGGACGGTCCTTTTCTCACGTAGATGAGACGTAATCCCTATCAACGCTGCAGTCTGACACACTTCTGAGCACTGACCATTAAAGAGATAGCTCATCATCATTTGCTCAACCTCACTACAAACCAGAATGATATTTAAGCTGTTGCACACAGATAAACCTCTGCTGCAGCTCTCAAATCTCATTCACACTCATATTCAATTAAATAAAATCAATGTCAAACCAAAGTGACACCAGTTTGAATACGCAGAATGAAAAATCATAAGATAAAAAAATAAAAGATTTCAGGCTTGTCATACAGCTTTAGAAGACTCAAAATACAGTACAAATCATATTAAACATTTTTTAATATCAAATGTGTATATATGTTTCGTGCATTATTAGTATAAAATGTCTACACAATGGGCACTCATCATAAAAATAATTAAGAATAACATTAAATATTCATACTTATCAGTATAAACTGAGTATACAATTTATACTATTAATTCACAAAAGAAGAAAAAGAAGAAATTTGTTTACTTTTTGTGATTTTCAGTATAAATTACATAAAATTTACACTCATAATTCAAAAAATAAATAACATTAAAAATGTATACTTTCTGTGAATCTCCCATATTAATTTATTTTACAGTTTAAACATAATACACAAAATATAAAAAAATATAGATATGATATTATTATTTAAAATAATACAATATCAAATATTTAGACTTTTCAGTATAAATTGAGTATACAATTTAAACTCAAGTCACAAAATATAAAATAAGTAAACTTTTTATGTATACTTTTGTGTATGTACTTTTTTATGTTTTCTGTATAAATTGCATGTAAAATTTACACTCATACTAAAAAAATCAATAACAATACAGATAATACCAAATATTTATACTTTCAAAAAAATAAAAATATGACATTATTATTTTAAATAATAATTAGTATTATTATTATACTTTTTAGTATAATTTAATAAACAATCAATTTATACTCAATTCACAATAATAATAATAATAATGCTAAATATTTAAACTTTCTGTGAATTTTCAGTATAAATTGTAGTAGCCTATATAATTTATAACCAGTTCACAAAAAAATACCTCTCTCGAATCTCAATAATGCTCATGTTTGAATATGGAGAATGAGATTTCAGAGCTACGGCAATGGAAAGATTTTAGTCTTGTCACAAGGCTTCAGAAGACTCGAAATACAGAACAGATCATACAGACTACCTTTAATCATTTTGGAGTTTGACATCATATGTCCCAAATGGCTTCAAAGAGCACCCAGGATATTTTTCAACATTTATTTTTTCGCGTCCCACAAGAGTAACAACAGCATTTGGGTTTGGAACGACATGAAGGTGAATAAATAAAGGACGAATTGCCATTTTTCAGCGAAGCTCTCCTTTAATCAGAGCCAATATAAATCTTAATTCTGTCTCAGAGGGACATGAAACTAAATGTTCCAAAGTGTCACCAAAGCAAAAGCAGGGCCCTTTTCTTCAATAAACACATCCCGGCGTAAAATTTCCTTCTGTTTTCGCCCCCTCTGTTGGATGAAAGATAAAGCTTTTGCTTTGACTGGTGAAGGCAGATGGTCGCCATACTGGGCAAAACGAATTCAGATGTGGCAAATGAATCAAGATTACTTCAACATGCAAAAGGCTTTGAAAGAAGAGAAAAGGGAGCAATTCTATTTATTGCATTTTCCTCTGTGTAATTAAATAGTCAGGACTTTTATGTAGCTTCCACGTCTTTTTTTGTTGTTTCAACAGACGCCTAGTTAATTTACTCATTTAGTTGCGGGCATGAGATTTGTGTTTTCGTCGATTTTGCCAAGAGCAGTAGTCCTACAGCGTGTAAATACGGATGAATCTCGGTGACCTAAAATTAATTGAGGAAGGACGCTTTTACTAGAGCCCACAAATATCAGCATTCAAAGACCTCCAACATATTTATTTCTTCTTTATCCAAGACATCCAACCTTCCACCACATGCTGTTTCAGTATATATTCAACTATATTTTTCATTAATTACAATTACCCCAACTCAGCTGTCTCATAAATTTACAGACCATCAACATAACTGGGGGAAAATCAGAAACATATTTGGCGCTCGCAGTCACCGAAGAAGGAAATGTAACTTAATAGCGCGTCTTTCTCGAGGCCCTAATGAAGTGGCAAATGCGATTCAGAGCCATTGGATGTTTTATTTCCCTCCTACGTCCTCGCCACACACGGCAGCGCTTGTCTGCGTCTGCACAAGACCTGCAATCATGCGAAATCCATTTCTCTCACACCAAAACGTGTAGATTAAAGGCTCTTGGACGTGTACTTGAACAGGAAGGAGGGGGAGAAATGGCTCACACGTTCAAATCTCCATCATCTGTGTCTCTGTGTGTGTGTGTGTCTCTGTGTGTGTGTGTGTGTCTGTGTGTGTGTGTGTGTGTGTGTGTGTG